AACAGAGAGTGTAAAGAGCCAAAAGTAGCTATGGTTGATTAACCGGCAGAATTGCTGGACCCATCCATAAATAGCTTTCTTTTGAAAAAGCTATATCCCAAAAGGGATAATAATGGGGTTTATGGATCGTCAGTTCTCTCTCTCTCTCTCTCTCTCTCTCTTTCTCTTTATCTTTTTCTGTGTTAATATTTATATTTTGAAAACTATTATGAAAAAACATAACAAAAACATTTTTATGTTTTTTGTTTCAACATCATTAGATAAAATCTTAGGAAGAGTATTCAGTTTATTTTTTTTTGATTTTTCGAAATGAGCATTAAAAAAAACTAATATAATTAAGTTGGATTTGACCAGAAATTTATCAAAATTTATACTTTTAGACTTTTATGCCGACTTTTTAAAGTTATTTTGAGTTTTTTCTATTAATTTTTTCTTTTGTTTTTATTTCCTTTCTATTGATTGAAAATCACAAAGCAAACTTTAAATTAGAAAAAAATCATAAGCAAAACGTAAGCAAAGATTCAGCCACAATAATAAAACTTATCAAACTAAATAATAAACCCCCAAACTGGTGCACTCTCGGTGGAAACAAAGTTTTTTTTTGAGTTTTCAGAGATCTCTAAATTGCAGTTTGCGTTTTTTTGGCGCAAAGCAAGCATTGATAGGCGGCGTCTCAGCCACTAAGTTTGGTGCAGTGGGACTTTGATTGCCGGAAGAAGAAGTATGCTGCTGCTGTTGTTGAGTGATTGAAAAAATATCCGGTTTTATTGGGGTTTTGGGCGTCTGCTGGTCCTCACCTTTTTTCTCTGTTGAATCTGGTGATTCAATCGACTCAATGTTCCAGTAGCTTTCTCGCTCTGCTAAATCTCTAATGGATCCTTCCTGATTTTCGTAAAAGGGGATCGATTGGCAATCGTAGTTAAACAGTATTTTTCTCGGTGAACGATCAAGGCAAGTAGGGTCTTGAATATCTGTGCGCTTCAGCGCAGGATACGATTCAGTCACACAGCAACTCTCGTAGACCTGTTTTCTGTTTTGTATGAGTATACCAATTTGATCTAGCAAATAGTTGGGTAACATCATATGGTTTTTAGTGACCCATTCATCGAATTCTCTGCTTCCTGGATCAAGATCGTTGAAAGGACTTGTTTTTCGATGACGCATTTTCCGTTCCTGTTGAACCACTACGATAGAATCTCTGGTATAAGTTTGGTATAATATAGCTCTTTCAAGAGAATTAATTGAAATGATTTGCAGTGGAGTTGCCATCGTTGAAAATTTTGTATTGACTGATTTTGAGAGATTGAATAAAAATAGTGAGTAGATTTAGTTTGACCTACCACTTTTAGTTTTTTATTGCTGGTGGTCTAAGATTTAGCCAATTACCATAAATCTGGTTTTGTGAAATTTTAATATGTTTTCAGGGCTTTTGCAATTAAGTAGAAATGTGAACGCTTTGAAAATCTATACTTCAAAGAAACAGCATGGCGCCTTTTTATGATACCCTAAGCACAAAATGACAAAAATTTTACACTTCAAAGAGATAACATGCATGCCGCCAGGGTAAAAACGTTGAGATTTATGAGCTAAAACGGGAATTTGCCAGACAGATGCAAGCTAATGCTATCTCTACTTCAAATAGAGTGCATGACGCCTTTTTTTATGTCCCCCGGACGAGGGGCTTTAAAGGTCTCCACTTCAAAGTGAGTACATGTATGCCGACATGTAACATTAACTGAGATTTATGACCCATTCAAGTACTTTCCAGACAGAAATGACAGATGCAATAAACACGCTTTTATCTTATACAAATCCAATTGCAAAAACTAATTAAATTCTCCCGCTATAGACTGAAGGGGCGCCATAAAAGTAAATCCACAGATATTTGTTTATCTTCTATCCAATTCATTATTCATTTCATTCTATCATAAAACAGTTGAACCAACAAGTCACTACCGTTACCACCACCACTATGTACTCGTCGCTAGAAAATGATACAGACTTTTACGATGATTTTAAAGATATATCTTCGGGAGAAAAACGCATTGTACGGGTTGGAACGAAAACTTTTGACAAAACGGGTACATATATCACAGTTAAGTTATATAAAAAGAATGAAGATGGTGTATTTAAATGTTATCAAGCAGTGACCTTAACGACAAGAGAATTTGATTGTTTGGCAGATAATTATTCAAAGGTTAAAAAATTGGTTAAAAAACAAACTGGTGAAAAGACTTCATCTTCTTCCTCCTCCTCCTCATCCTCCTCAGCTGTAAATGATAAACATCATAAAAGACGATACACGTCAAAACGATTAGTCCCTCCCAAAAAAGAATGTGCTGAAAGTGGCGATGAAAACGATGCTGATGATGAATACTCGAATAATAAAAAGTGTAGAGTTGCCTGAAACAGAAAAAAAAACGTTTGAATAATTTGATTTAACCAGCAGAATGGTTGAAGCAATGTATGAGCAGTCGCCTGAATTTTTTAAAAAATTTCGAAAGAATTTTAAATTTTTTATTCTGAACAACGAACCCGACGCCTCACAACTCCCTCTAAACACAAATTTTGCATTTGCAACCCACTCAATTCAGAACGAGTCTTGCGCCCAATTGCTCGACAATGACCATCCCCACATCCATGTTCTCATCGAAGTAACCAAGGATTGTGTCGACGTAGTGAAAAAGATGACCTCAACCACTTTCGTTGTACCTTGTCTACTCTCATCTTTCAAGCATCTAATATTGGGTTGCAGTAAACTTCACCTATCGGGACCCCTGATGGAAAAATTAAAAATTGCTGTCAACTACAACAATTCTATTAACAACTCAACTGACATTGGTGGTGCTTCTCTACGAAGAAGATTGCCACAAATTTGCTTTGCTTCACAAACTCGATCCATTCAAACTCAAACTGATTTAATCACTAATGTAACAATTGAACGCTTCATTAATATTTTGAATGGTGATAATGCCGCCGAGTTTTCTAAAATTATTGATATCATTTTGAGTGGGTATGGTCGTTTAGAGATTGATTCAAATACTTTGTTTGTTAAATTTATAATGGAAAAAAAATTAAACTCTGAAAACGGTTTTTAGAGCCTGCGATAACGCCAGAGGCAAGTGTTCTAGCAACCATAAAACATGTTTTTTTCTTAAAAATAAATTATAAATCATTAAAGAAATGCATCAGTATCACAAAGTTATAACATCATATGTTTAGCAAAACGCATCATGTCATGGTCATTAACCTTGAAACCTATAGGAAATTTAGATGAAATTATAACATGAGCAACATAAATACAATAAAGTCCGCACAAGACCGAGTTAGCTGATTGGATTGGCTTATTCATCAGTATTTGGTTTCCCTCGTGGATAGAACGTCTCATATTTTTGTATACATGTGGATAGTTGTGTAGGCTTCGTCCAAGAGGATCTGCAAAAAAAATTTGACCACCAGCTTGAGCAAACAGTAACCAATGAGTTCCTGGCTGGTCTGAGTTTGATGCGTTCACTATCATGAAAGTATTGTCACGTTTCAATATTGTATTAAATGCTAAGTTAGCGGGAAAAATGCCACAAAATCGATGTTTCAAATGCTTGCATCGGTGAATAAGCTCAGTAATCTGTAAATTGTCCATTTTTTTTCACCGAGTCAACTCATTAGAGTGTTTTTAGCTATTTTTCTATCGGAACGCACGTAAACTGTTGATGCACGCTCTCCCATGAAAAGTAACTCTACATTTTCCCCCAGCGGTGCATCAAACTTCAGTTCTACTGAAATGGTGCAATTGGTCAATTCAGGATGAATAAAGTCATGTGAAGCCTCCTGAGTAGATGTGAGATCAAATGCCATAATATAATGATTGTGATAATTAGCCAAACTGATTCCATGACTATTGTTGAAAACAAAGTCTAGAGCTTCCAATGTGTTATAGTATATTCTTTTGTTATCAGTCGTTGACACAGGAGTTCCTGCAATGGGCAGACCGTTTCGGTAAACAATGATTTCATTCAGCTGAAATTTTTGATAATGAAACGGGTTTGTTCGGTTAGTTCCCAGGTATGCTGTAATCGAGCTCATTGCTAAAATCATTCGACGAACTGGCTCTTTGGCAAAAACGTCTTCTTGTCGCCAGCTTTGCACACCAGTTGTGGCCAAAAAAGTTCTCGGTAAAACTTCAATATAATTGTATATTGCGGGTGTTTTCAACAGAGTTTTTTCTATCGACGATAGCACAAAATCGGTTACTGTCATTTTGCGCACATATAGGTTAGCCTCTGTGATTTCAACACGGTAATGTTTATCTCTATGCTCAGACATGATAACAAAGTCATTAGGAGATCGTCTCAGAGAAAGTCTTATTGTAACACCGCTGATAAGATGTTTGTCACATGATAAAAAATCACAAGCTATTTTACCAAATAAACGGAATTCGGTTGATGCAGCTACGATTCGTTTACGTTCAGCGACATCTTCAGCTCGCCCATTAGCACCATCAATACCTGATGGATTATCTTCATAATAATAACCTTGACAAACAAGCCATGTTTTCTTTGCATAATTACCATGTGAAAATTCGGTCTCAATGAAACTCTTATGGGCAAAATTGGCATTGGTTGTTGAAATTTTTTCTCCATTCAAGGACATTGTGCATTCGGAAAATAAAGATGAAAGTGGATTGTTAACCAAATATGGGGTGTCTCGTTGTGCTGCCTCTGTAGCATGAGTTCGCAGTACATTACCATTATTTTGAACAACGCGTGCTACAATCTCCAA